TGTTACAGGGATAACTACCTTTTTATTATTATATTTTTTCATAAAATTTGTATTTAACATTGGCCATGCTTTGTATTGCTGAATTTGAATTGTCATTGCACAAAGTAATGGCTTAAAAGGCAGTAAAGGAATTTAATTTAAATATGTCATAAATCATATTGCAGTTGTATAATGTATTAAAAGTAAATGATAAGATTAATTTCAATCTGTTTGAACAACTAAACAAGTATGTAATTATGAGTGTATGTTTAAATAGTTGATTCTCCAGTTTGCTTTATAAACACTGCATGAATTATCAATTTATCAGAAGTATCTTTGAATTAAGAAGAATATGTAACCTTCAGTAACTTTCAGTTATACCAAATTTAGCGTACTCTTAATTGGATTTAAACCATGTCCTTGTTTTCCAGACCAGTATTTATGACATGAAGGAGATATGTTGCGAAGCCGAGCAAAACGTGTTTCGAAAACTGTCAAAGAATTGGATGCATTTCCTAAAGTTCCTGAATCTTACATTCAGACATCACCAGTGGGAGGAACATGTATGCATTTAACTGTGGATAAATATAATGTTATAATTTACTTAGATATTGAACAGTAATGAAAGAATTGTTGTATGTGGTATTTTCTCCTAAATGTCATCATCAGCAAAACAGCCCTTTTTGAGCCATAACCTTAGAAGATTCTGCCAGACTTGCCTGTTCTGTTGTCAATTAGACTATCTGATTTTCACTTCTTTGGATTTCACAACAGTGATTTTTTTAGAGAGCAAGGTCATTAGCCCTGCATCCAACCCCAAACCTGGAGAACCAGTCTCTGTATTTATGTCCCCCAGGAACAGGGTGGGCCAGTTATGCCCCCAGGTACTGGGTTCCCTTTTTGTCGCCCCCTGCAACTTGCAGGGCTATGTTGGAGGTATTCTAACCCACCTCTGCACGGGACTGTCCTATATGTAGGCAGGCATACGTATAATTGGTAGGGAGTGCCATGTAATGTAGCTGTGTTATCATCTTGTTGTCTTGTTAATTTTAATGGCCAGCTGTTTGATCTGTTACCTTATGCTTTGGTAATAGGACTTAGTAAGTTAAGTACTGCTAATAGTAAAGCGTCTGTTGATCATGATATAAGAGTCATAGCAGTTCATGTTCTCACAATTTATTTCCCTAAGATCAATTTTAATATTATTCTCTCACGTTCATGGTCTTCCAAGGAATCACTTTCTCAGAGGTTTCCACACCAAAACTCTGTGTATTCCCTGTTTTCTCAAACTTATTTGCTGTCTAAATATGCTTTCTTTGGCTCTACAAATTGGTAGATTTATTTTTTGTTATTTACTTAATGAAGAATCTATCAGAATTGCCACAACCACTTTAGGAATGGAAATGAAGTGAGGTAAAATGATTTTTTTTTCAGAATAAATAGTGTGAATGCTTTAGAAAAAATCATATATCTTTTGGTTACATTTGCGTGGTATCACCACACAACTACCATACCTAACAGTGCTGGAAACAGACAGTACATGTCCAACCCATGATAAAATCCATGATTGATTGATTGATTTCGTCACTGTAGATCATTGTACATGATATATGACAAGTCAAGTTAATTCTGAATATTAACAATTGATATATAAGTAGATTAAAATTACAATAGTTACAATTTTTTACTGCTAATTACAATTTAGAATTAGTTAGATATTCTTATTTATGGAGAATTTGATGGAATGAACATTGGCAGGGGAAACCGAAGTACTCGGAGGAAACCTGCCCCAGCGCCATTTTGTCCATCACAAATCCCACTTGCTCAGATCACAGTGGTGGGAAGCCAGCGACTAATCGCTTAAGCTATGGCGTGGCCTTAGAATAATGATATTGATAGCTAATGTAATGTTCTCAGCAGATTGGTGCCCTTCTTGATGGCCTGGTATTCTC